TCAGTTTTTCGCCAAGTGCCGCGCCACGTAGGCGACAAAAAGGTATTATTGTGACACGTTGATGTTAAGTAAGCGATTTTTTGATATATTTTTAAAGATAAAAATGTTATATAGAGTTTTATTATCATTGTACTTCTAATATTTCATATATACAAAATTAATCATACCTTCTAATAAATATCTTATAACACAGTTTTATTTCCATCATAAAATTCGTTTTAAAAAATTCCTTAAAATAATATCCATTTATAATATACTAGATGAAACCCGTGCGATGCACGTTTTGTTTGAATTCTTTAAAACAATTTTTTTTTTTTTTTTTTTTTGTATTTATTTTCAAAAATTTGTTATATATTTAGAAAAAATTCATAATATCAAAAGATAATATTTTATATTTAATTAATTTAAACATAAAAATCTCATTCGCCAATTTTGCTTACGTGGCATTTGAATTATTTAATTCTAAAAGAAATTAATAATCTCTTATTTAATTGCCTACAACTAAAATTTATAATCCTACCTGGCGTGCGAGGAAAATTTAATCCTACGTGGCTCTCTAAAAACCCGAGGAAAAAACTCCCCTTTATATATATACTAGTTAGTGCACCGGGCGTTGCCCTGAATACTAGGGGTGGGACTTCGGTCTGGCAGTTCGGTTTGACCTCAGTTTGAAACGGTTTCGGTTTGAAACGGTTCGGGTTAAAACGGTTTCATTTAGACGGCGGGTCGGTTCAGTTCGGTTTTGATTAGTCACAGGTCGGTTCGATTTCGGTTTATTTTTGTACGATTTAAATTCGGTTCGGGTCATAAACGGTTCGGTTTATAAACAGTTCGGGTCATAATCAGATCGGTTAGAAACGGGTCGCTTCAGGGGCGGATTTACTCGGGTCAATGCCGGTTCAGTTTTTAAACGGTTCGGTTAATAATCGGGTCGGTTTGAAACAGGTCGGTTCAGGGACGGGTTTACCCGGGTCAATGCCCGTTCGGTTTATAAACGGTTCGGGTCATGATCTGACCGGTTTGAAACGGATCGGTTCAGGGGCGGTTTTACCGGGTCAACGTCGGTCCGGGTTCATATCGGTTCGGGTCATGAACGGATTATTTTGAAATGGGTCGGTTCAGGGGCGGGTTTACCCGGGTTAATGCTAGTTCGATTCATATCGGTTCGGATTATACTCGGTTTGGTGCTAAAATCGTTCGGGTTAGTTTGGTAATCAGTTAAATTGGATCGGGTTGAAATCGAGTTCTAAAAGTGGTTTTGACCAGTTAGCGCGTTTTGTTTTATATCAAGTTGGGACTAGTATTTCCATTTCTTTAGCGGGTCGGCATAGGTTGGTGAAAAAAATAATGGATCGAGTAGAAATTGGGTTTTAAGAGATTTTTGACCGGTTAGCTATTTTCGTTTTATATAAAGTTGGGACTTCGTCACTTTATTTTCAGACATCGGATTATATACAATTACACAAATCTTCATTTATTCAATTATTCTATATCATGTTAATATGTTATGTTTCAAGTTTGGTTATACTCTTGTTGTTGTTTATTCGATATTATCATATTAGTCTATTACAAATTTATAATGTATTAATGTATTATTGTTTCATTATTAAATATATATTATTAGGTTATCAGCTTCTTGTTGGATTGTTTTAGATATCGTGTCATGACCATGTTTTGATGAGTTGCTACTTTGAATACGATAAATCGATTCAGATATCAGATTATATAGAATTACAGAAATTCTCATTCATTCTATATCATGTTAATGTGTTATGTTTCAAATGTGGTTATAGTCTTGTTGTTGTTTATTAAATATTAGTCTATTACAAATTTATAAGGTATTAATGTATTATTGTTTCATTATCAAATATTATCAGGCTATCAGCTTCTTGTTTTAATTGTTTTAAATATCGTGTCATAACCATGATTTGATGAATTGGTACTTTGAATACGATAAATCGATAATTGATATTGTAATAAACTAATAATTTAATGTTACGGAACTATATTTGGATGTTTAATTAAAATCACGATTATTCAATTTTCCATTAGTCTAATAAAGTAATAATTGACAATTGTTTGTAACTATTCCATAATTTTGGTGTTTAAGTTATATTGCTGAATTACTCTGTTGTCTTACCCTCTCTAATCACCTTTTAAGATTACGTGCCTACAAGGCTGCAACATATATATGTTGCAACTTGCAAGTTAAAGAAAACGGGTGGGGAAGTAGAAGTATTCAATTAGATCGATCATCAACTGTTTTAAGTTTTAATAATCAGATACATTTATCGATTATCTATACATACCAATGATAGTATGATACCAATCGTACCATACATTATTATTTATTACATATACTGATATACATATAACTAATATACATTAAATATGTCATATTGAATCAATTCCAATTTCCAAACATTTGTGTTTCTTACAATTTATAAGTTACATAAAGTTAAGAGTGCAGTAGTGTTTTTATTAGTACGTAGCTATGAATAAAAAAACCATACTATCCAAATCCATTATCCCATGATCTGTGTCACCGTCTTATATTAAATATCAGTCATTGATTTGCATGTCATCTAACGGGCTATCATCGCACACATTCCAATTCACGATCCGTGTGTTTTCTTTTCCACCAATCAGATCACTCTTACCATCGTCTCTTTAGTACTCTTTTTTTGTTTCTCTCTCGTTTTCTTAATCCTCTTTTGTAATATTATCAATAATATGCTCACTGCTCTCTCGTTTTCTCTCTCATCTCCTCTTCCTTCTTCCTTCTTCTCCCTTCTTCCGTCTATGTTCTCCTTTCTTCCATCTCGTTTCTCCGTCTTCGTCCACCGACACTACGCACGACGGTTTTTATGGTCAAATTCGACCACGAAACTCTGGATCTAGTTGTTTCATGATCAAATTTGGCCTTTTAAAACCAAATTTGAGGCCAAATTCAGGATTAATATATAAGGTGTTTTCGTTCTTCCTTTTTTTATTTTCTGTTTTTCTTTTTAATTTTTTTTCAAGTTGTGCGCAACGGAGGGGGCCGAGTTAGGGTGGGTGTGGCGGCGGTTAGACTGGGTTCGGGTGGGTGGGGAGGGAGGATTTTTCGAGGGAGGGAGGGAGTTTTATGGTGGGTGAGCAATTAGAGTGAGTTGGGGGGTTTCGAGGATGTTGGGTTTCGTGGGGGTGGGTGGGGTGGGGTTACGGTGGGTTTGGGTTTTTTTTTCGATTTTTTTGTATGGGGTGGGGTGGGGTGTGTTACGGTGACGGTGGTGGGTGTGGTTGGGGTTGGGTCTGTTTTTTTTTTTTTTTTTTTTTTTTTTTTTACAGTGACGGTGGTGGGTGGGGTGGGGTGGGGTACGTTACGGTGATGGTGGTAGGTGGGGTGGGGTATGGGTCTGGGTTTTTATTATTTACGGTGACGGTGGTGGAATGGGTGGGGTAAGGTTTGGGTCTGGGTTTTTTTATTTACGGTGGGTGGTGGGGTGGGGTGGGGTGGGTTACGGTAATTATGGTGGGTGCGGGGGTGGTGTTAGGGTGGGTCTGGGTTGACGTTGGTGGGGTGGGGGTGGGTTACGGTAACGGTGGTGGGGTGGGGGTGGGTTACGGTAACGGTGGTGGGTGGGGGTAGTGTTAGGGTGGGTCTGGGGTGACGGCGGGGGTGGTGTTAAGGTGGGTTACGGTGGTGGATGGGTGGAGGGTGGTTGGATTGGGTGGGTGGCCAAATTTTTTCATTTTTTTTATTTAATTTATAACTCCTAATTTAGTTATACAAGAATATAATTTTAATTTTATAATAGCAAAAAAATTTACAAATTTAAATCAATAATTATATGTAAAAAAAATTGTACTGTTAAATTACATTAAATATCAAATATATTTCGTGGAATTCTAACAAATTGTTAAAGGCTGTAAATAGTTCAATTTGAATGGAACGGGTTGTAAACGGTTCGGTTTAAATAGTTTGTAATCGGATCGGTTTAAACGGGTTGCGGTTTGAAAATAGTTCGGTTTAAACGGTTTAATGGGTTATAACAGTTCGGTTTAAATGGTTAGCGGGTTGTAAATGGTTCGATTTAAACGGTTTTTTCCTACGGTTTAAACGGTTTCGGTTTATAAACGGTTCGGTTTAAACAGTTAGCGGGTTAACATTAATCGGTTCAAACGGTTTCGGTTTATAAACGGTTTGGTTTGTTATTGGTTTATGGTTCGTAACGGGTTAACATTAATTGGTTCCGTTCGGTTTCGGTTTGACATTATACGGTTCAATTCGGTTTTCGGTTTAAAATTAGCGGGTTATAAACGGTTCGGTCCGTGATGGTTCGGTTCGGTAACGGACGGTTTCACGGTTCGGTTTGAAAAGTCCCACCCCTACTGAATACCCATTTTAGAGAGTACACTTATTTGTGAACATGTTTTGTATTATTATTGATTAGGAGAATTTTCCCTTAATCACCCCTCGCCATGCGGACCAATCAGGCCCTGACAAGTGTCACCCAGTTAGACTTATTAGGACCTGCCACGTGGCACACTTCAGCTGGTCCACCATGGACTTCCTATGCTATGCCATGTGGCCCTTCAACCTTGCCTAAACAGGTAGCAGATTGGGCCCAAATCCCAAGAAAGCCTAGTCAGTCCTAGGGTTGGGCAAAAACCCTAGAACCCGGCACGCTTCCCAATGCTATAAATACTGTCATAAATGCTCATTAATGACATAGACTGTTCACAAGAAACACACGGATTGCACAAATCCCAAGACAATCACACACCACTCGGTACCGCCTGCTAGACCCGTCCTAGCATCCGGGATCTATTTACATTCGCATTACAACTCCTTCATTCGCTAACTTGATCGTTGGAGGCGGATCTCCCTACCCAAGGAGTCTCCGTTATCTTGTAGGTACAGGCGCGTGGTTCCAGCCTCAAAGTTGTAACTCTCCCAAGGGACACAGAAAACCCCGAAACTTTTTGGCGCCGTCTATGGGGAGAGTACCTTTGAGATGGCATCACAATCTGTACCGACTAATAGTGACAAGCGTCCTGAGGACGACTGCCAAGAAGACGAGCCTCATGTTTCTTCTAATCAGGACACTGAGCCTCAAGTTGAGACTTACACGGCCCCAGACGGGTCCTTGAGGGCTCGACGCACTACCCCTCGTGAAAGGCAGGAACGGCAAGACCAGGCTGGTCCAGGCCAAACAGTCGGACCTTCGGCTGACTCTCATCAAGCGGTCGACCGGATAGCTCCTGTCTCAAGGAATGATCTTATGACCATCATGAGAAGTTTCAAGGGTGAGATTAAAGATCTCATCAACAAAAAGACGGTTGTCTCCCAAAAAGGGCAGTCGAGCAAAAAGCCTTCCTATTCAGGAAAGAAAAAGTCATTGAAGGACCGTGAGGCAACCCCCCACCCTCGCCAAGAGGAGAGGCGGGTACCTCTAGTCAATTTGTCCAAGCACCGTATCCCTGCCTCATTGGGAAGGAAACCAATCCGCCTGGTTCAACCAGACGGCTCAAAGAAATCCTACTCAGACGCCCGGCTGCTGATTCAGCAGAAAAGGAGCCAACAGCAGTCTGAGTCGGCCTCCACTTCTGATTTTCTTGACAGTATGCAAAACACTTCTATGAATCATTCAAAATCAAACTATGAGATCCGGACAGGCAGTGCACACTCTGGTTCTAGCTCTCATTAACAATAGTCGGCACCATATGTCACTCAGCCGCCATATGTGCCGCAAACTCACTACTTTTTGCCACCTCCTCCTTTTGGGGGTCAGACAGCTAAGAATGTCCAGCCTTTGGACTGGCAGTTACGATTGCTTCAACTTGGAGAACAACCAACCGCCTTCTCCAAGGAAATCTTACAAGCCGCCCAGCCGGCTAAAGTGAAAATGTGTTAATAGGCGCCTATGATGACACCACTAACCCAGGATCACCTGATGACATTCACCAATCTAATGTACCTTCAAGGATTGGACGATGCCACATGGTGTAGGTGTTTTCCTGCCACTCTGAAGGGAGTCGCCCAACAGTGGTTCCGCAACCTGCCGGCCAGCTGTATTAACAACTTCAGAACATTGGCTTATTTGTTTGCATCAAACTTTTCCATGAATATACCTACCAGGAAGACGACTCTTGATCTAGGAGCCGTCCAGCAGGGAGAAAAGGAGGGATTACGCTCCTACATAAAGAGATTCAATCTGATGAGGATACAAATACCCAACCTTCCGGATGAAGTAGCCTATACTGATTTCTTCAAGGGATTGAAAGACGGGTCGAACTTCAAATTCGATTTAGTCAGAAAAAGAGTGGCTACTCTCCAAGAGGCAATGATGGAGGCTGAGACCTACATACAGGCAGTCGACCTCTGTCACATGGGAAAGCAAGGGGACCAGAAAAGGTCCGAGAAAAAGGAGGGTCGTTCACAGAAAGCGGCCCCCAAGGAAGAGAAAAAGAGAAAAGATGTCTGGATGGCCGACTCCACTAGTCAGCCGCCCAGTAAGAAGAGAAAAGAATTCACTCCATACTCCCCCAAATATGAGTTCAACAAAGACAATCATACCATTTTCAAAGAAGTTAAGGGACGACTCTCACTTGAGAAGCCGACACCTATGAAGGGTGATCCTAGCAAGCGCAACCAAGGCAAGCACTGCCATTTTCATGATGACGATGGGCATGAGACCAACGAATGCATTAGTCTCAAGCGTCTGCTGGATCAGTTGGCTGAAAAGGGTGATCTGGACTCTTATATCAAGAAACCTAAAGGAAAATAGCCCCCCAAACAAAATCAGTCGGCCAGGCAAAAAAGACAGAAGCCGGCCGACAGCTCTGACACTGATGAAGCTGCCATCTATACAATAGCAGGCGGCTATGCAGGGGGAGGCCCGACTGTTTGGGGAAACAAGGATAACATCAGACAACTGGATGTTAACTCTGTTAATCAGGGTGAGACCTCTAGTACCTCGTTTCCAGAGGTTATTATTTCTCAGAAATATTCGGGTGGTGTCCGACGGCCGCATGACGACCCAATTGTCATCGAGTGTAAAGTGGCCAGTCAAATAGTCGGCAAGATACTTATTGATACAAGGAGTTCGTCGGACCTCATCAGCCATAAGTGCTTGACCAAGCTCAAGTACAGGCCTGAGAGTATACAGCCTGTCTCCCATCCTCTCGTAGGAATTGGAGGGGGAGTCGAGTTGACTTGCCCGTCCGTCTGGGTGAGAGAGGTGAGGGCCGCCACATGGTCATTCGTTTCCTGGTTGTGGAAGAACTTACTGCCTACAACATAATCCTTGGGCGCCCCACCCTTAATGACTCTAAAGCAGTTATCATTCCATCCCTTATGTTGCTCAAGTTTGAGAAGGATGACAAAACAGTCAGTTCCATAAGGGGGGACCAGAGAATGGCCAGAGAAATTTACCTCACTGACAACAAAACAACGGTAACTTCAGACGGCCCAACTTGCAAAGCCATAGAAGAAGCGTCTGCCCAAGACGCAGGCGGCAGGAAGAGAAAAGCCTCCGAGACGAAGGTCAAGAAAAATCATAAGCAATAGAAATCACTGGCTGGGGAGCTGCCGAATGAATTCCGCCCTCAGCCAGCTGGGGAGCACGTAGATGTTGCCCTCGATGACAGTCGTCCAGACCGATCTGTTAAGGTGGGGACGACTGCTCCGACTGAACTTGGCAATGACCTTCGCCAATTGCTGAAAGAGTTCCAAGATATTTTTGCATTTGAGTTGCATGAGATGCCAGGTATTAGTCCAGACCTGGCGGTACACAAGCTAGTTGTCGACCCAAAAAAGAAACCAGTACGACAGAAGAAAAGGAATCATGGTGAAGAAAGAAATCAGGCGGCCGCTGCCGAGGTAAAGAAGTTACTTGATGCGGGATACATTCGGCAGTGTTTCTATCCAGAATGGGTTGCAAATGTGGTGCTAGTCAAGAAGCCGAATGGTTCCTGGCTCATGTGTGTGGACTACACTGATTTAAACAAGGCATGTCCGAAAGACAGCTATCCTTTGCCAAAGATCGACGGCCTGGTCGACTCAACAGCCGGCCATGCCTTGATGAGCTTCATGGACGCCTACTCAGGCTTTCACTAGATCCCTCTATGGAAAAAAGATTAAGAGAAAACTGCCTTTGTCACAGATCAGGGACTCTATTGTTACACGGTCATGCCGTTTGGTTTGAAGAATGCCCCGACAACCTTCCAGAGAATGATAAACACTGTGTTTTTTGAATAAATTGGAAGAAATGTGAAGGCGTATATTAATGATATGATTGTAAAGTCAAAACTCCAAACGGACCATCTGGCAGACCTCCGAGAAACATTCGCCACACTCAGGCGGCACCGAGTCATGCTTAATCCAAAAAAGTGTGTCTTTGGAGTTGAGTCTGGGAAGTTTCTCGGATTCCTGATAAATCAAAGGGGAATAGAGGCAAATCCCGACAAGGTGCAGGCGGTCATTGACATGCAGTCGCCTCGCACCGTCCGAGAGGTACAAAGGCTAACAGGCTGCCTCGCCGCTCTCGGAAGGTTTCTTAGTCAGGCAGGCGACAAGTGCCTCTACTTTTTCCAGGCAATTAGAAAGAAAGCAAAGTTTGAATGGGGACCGAATGCTGAGTCAGCCCTCCAAAACTGAAAGAGCATCTGCATTCCCTGCCGAGACTCGTCAGTCCTTTGCCAAAAGAAGTGCTTTACATGTATCTCACAGTATCAGATCATGCTTTAAGTGTCGTCCTCTTAGCTGAAAGAGACGGCTGCCAACTCCCAGTCTACTTTGTCAGTCATGTCTTGAAGAATGTAGAGTTAAGGTACCCACTGGTGGAGAAATTTGGACTCGCCCTGTACATGGCAGTGAAGAAATTGAAGCCTTATTTCCTGGCACATCCGGTTACGTTGGCAGGTATTGTATAGTTGAGATGACCATGGAATCGTCAGGACGGATGATAAAGTTGGCAGTTGAGATCCAAAGCCTTGAGGTTACGTTCGAGCCCAGAAAAGCTGTGAAGGGGCAAGCCTTTGCAGACTTTATAGTTGAGATGACCCGGCCACCAGAAAATGAAGAAATTGGCAAACTCTGGAAAGTCTATGTTGATGGGAGTTCCACAGCAAATGGTTGTAGGGCAGGTATTGTATGTCAGTCGCCAGAGGGCGACAGGTATGAATATGCGCTTCGTTTCAAGTTTCAGACGTCAAACAACGAAGCTGAGTATGAAGCCCTTTTGGCTGGTATCCGCATGTGCAAAGCAGCCGGGGCAAGAAAGATAGCCGCCTGTTCTGATTCACAACTCATAGTCAGCCAGTACAATGGGGATTATGAAGCCACTCATCCGGCTATGGTCAAGTACCTAGAGGCCGTGAAACAGGCGGCAAGCTCGCTTGAAGATTTCCAGTTAACTCAGGTCCCAAGGTCCGAGAATAACCAGGCGGACGCCTTGTCCAAACTGGCATCCTCGGCCTCATGCGACACCCCTAGAACTGTATTCTGGGAGGTAATGGAAAAACGGAGTATTGAGGAAAACAACATTGCAGTCCTTGACAGAAGCTCAACATGGATGGACCCAATCAGGGTATACCTAACAGACGGCACCTTGCCGGATGATCATCATCAGGCGGCCTCACTAAAAAAGCGAGCGTCCAGTTTTGAAATGATAAAGGGGGAACTCTACAAGAGAGGGTACCTTCAACCCTTCTTGAAATGTGTTACCCCAGAAAAGGGCGAGAGGTCCTAGAAGACCTACACTTTGGATATTGCGCCTCTCACATAGGCGGTAGGTCGCTTGCTCAGAGAGTCAGGCGGCAAGGGTACTTCTGGCCGACTCTGGAGGCAGACGCCATGGATCTGGTTAAAAAGTGTGACAAGTGCCAGAGGTTTGGCAAATTGATTCATCGTCCAGCTACAGATCTAACGGCTATCCACAGCCCAATACCATTTGCTAAGTAGGGCATGGATATTTTAGGACCCTATACGCCTGCATCAGGCGGCAGGAGATACATCCTGGTAGCAGTAGACTACTTCACCAAATGGGTGGAGGCCGAGGCAGCTAGGGGCATCAAGACCAAGGATGTAATCTCTTTCATTTGGAGGAATGTGATCACTCATTTTGGGGTTCCTATGTCCATGGTTTTTGACAAAGGTCCTTAGTTTGAGACGCCCGTTCTCAAAACTTGGTTGAGAGATCAAGGCATTTGCCTACTGCTTTGCATCAGTCGGACGGCCGCAAGAAAACGGCCAGGTCGAAGCATTTAACAAAATCATCTCAGACGATATAAAGAAGAAGATTGAAAAAGCAGGTGGCCTATGGGCAGACGAACTACCACATGTTCTTTGGGCCATAAGGACGACTGAAAAAGGAGAGACTGGAGAAACACCTTTCCTCCTAACATATGGGGCAGAAGCTGTCCTACCCATTGAGCACTATGAGCAGACTCTCCGAGTTATGATGTATGATGAAGATGCAAATTGGGAAGCAATGCGCCTAGCATTGGATTCCCTTCCAGAACGTAGGGGCAATGCTGCCCTACGCCATGAAATATACCGCCTGAGAATGACTCGAATCTACAACAGAAGAGTACACAAGCGCCCACTCAAAGTAGGGGACTTTGTACTAAGAAAGATGGAATCAGTCGGCAGGGCCAACGAGTTGGGAAAGCTAACTCCTATCTGGGAAGGACCCTACCGAATCTATGAGGAGGTCAGGGATGGCACCTACCGTCTGGAAACTCCAGAGGGCCGACCCCTACCTAGGACTTGGAATGTAGACAATTTGAAAAAATATTACTTTTGATGTAATTATTTAAAGTTTATTAATGAAAGTTCCAAGTTTACCTTCTTTTCATATGTTTAAAAAGGAGTACACTCCGTCTGTCCCAAGACAGGCGGATAGCCTCCAACACATATTTACTAAAGGGCACGCCTGTTTGCCCGCCATACGGCTAATCAACCTAGGCACCAAGCCGCTTGATTACGCTTAATTTTTAAATTAATACGACCTGTCCCAATAAATAGTAGGCGTCCGACGACATGCCATTTGGATGAGATTTGTCGCAGAGAGCAGCTCCAATTTGGGTGGAATAATGCTCTATAAACTACTTACACGGCCCCTATACGGCTGTCCCCAAGGACAACGTATCCGTTTTGAGACAGGGATAACTCAACACTTTTATAAGTGTCAGCAGTTGACATCTGCGTCGGATAGCCGCCTGTATTACTTTGGATAAATACAGGAGGCGCCCTCTGAGTTAATAGTCAACAAAAATTGACGAATCAAGGGGATTAGTCGGCCATTGACGACTGATACCTCTACTACTTAGGATTAGGAGCAGCGACGATTGGTTAACACCATAGTTAAACCATAGTTGTTCTTCCATACTTGGACCGGAATCCTAAAGGTTTGAGCAGTCCGCCTAGTCTTTGGCAAAAGGCACTCAAACAAACATTCCCACTAAGAAATACTAAATGAATCTGAACAATCTAGAAGGACCTCTCGGTGTCCGACTGGATGTGATAACGACTGATACACCCATCTGAATTGACCGTCATCTAAACAACAAGCGTCCTACTATGTTTCTCGTAAACAAACCAAGGAACTTACGACAGTCGATAAAACAGCGACTAGCCGACTGTGCTCTAAGAACTAGGCGACTCCCGTGACTTGAAATGCACTGTAAGTTGATTAATTCAGTCGATACCTTACCACTGTGACTAAGTGCATTTCACTCAAGCCTGGTTATGTTTTGCTACTGAGGTCTGACTGTCTATGGCCGA